AGAAACATTTTTTCCTTTAGTCCATTAGTTTCTAGGAAGTTTCCTGGAAATAACTATGCAATTTACCACTAATTATGGTCATAATGGGACATTGTTCATTTGATACACTTTTAATTAATGAATTCCAATGAACTGCTCTCATAGCAATTAGTGCAAAAAAGGTTAGCTGAACATTCAAAAATATGATTTATATTGTTTTACCTAAGCAGTTTTAAGGAAATTCCTCTGTAAATTATAAAATCAACTTTAACTTACTAACTTACTAACTAACTAACTAACTTAACTAAAATAACTGGAGCTTTGTCTTGATTATTCCTGAAATTAGGACTTAATTACATAGTTCTTTCCATGAAATTATTAGAAAACTACAGACCCATAAACTATAGTATTGCCCACCATTTCAAATTTGCTTTAAAATCAACTTTAAAGGGAAGGTTGGAATGACTGCCTTGCTTAAGCGTTGATTACTCTCCTGTAAGTGTGCATACACTGAGCCTGATCCGCCCCTATGAACTTACTTAACAGTTTGACAGGTTTCCAAGCTTGCTCTTGTTTCACAGGTTAAGGTTGGCACAGAAAGCCTTTACATGGAGGCCAGTTCCTCTAGGAAGCTGGCTCGCAACTTTAAATTCAACCAATCCCTGTCAGAACCATCCAATTTTGTCCAACCACCACAACTTTTCTGCAAATTTGACCTATCATTTCAGTTGCACACTCCAAACTACTTGCAATTTTATTCTCACTGGAACAAGTTGCCTTTGATTTTTAATCAATATATACAAAAAAAAAAACACCTTTTCACTCAAGACATGCCTAAAACCTAGCACTATGCTACACACATTTTTTGAATATCTGCTGGGAAATCAGGCCTTTTAGGCTGCAACAATCCCCACAAAAGCTTGCAAGGTCCTGGGGGGACTGGAAAGCACATTTTTCCCCCCAGTTCCATTAAATAACATGCCTTTGGCCTCATTGTGATAGCTTAGTTCCCAGCAGCCTCAGCAAAACATTGGGTATTCTTCAAGGAATCAAGCCTACAAGCCTCATCCTGGAGATTGGACTACACGTCACTAATGTCACCCTGGCCTTGGTTGCTTGCTCTCATGCTGGACAAGAGCATCAGACAAATTCTTAAAAATTAGAAAGTGAGAGAGACAGTGACATGAAGAAGTTGAGTAACTATGGGAAAGAGAGGAGATAAAAAATGTAGCTTTTAGCAGCTGCATGCTATGTGCTGTTGGTGCTAGAGGCTTTTAATAAGCAAGTTTCTCGGTTTTCTTAGCTTTATCTTGTTCCCCTCGCTGCTTTCTGCTGTACTTGCTTTGTGCTGCATTTCCTTGAGATTAGTTGTCAGTGGATGGGACTGTGTTGTATTTTGTTCTTACAGTCCACAGCATTCTTGTCTTTGTGTTACCAAGATAACAAAAGAGAGCTTTTTTTTCTGTTCTTTCAAGACCGCAAATTTAAAGCTCTCTTGACATTTGAAATGGCAAAATAGGGCTTTAATCAGAAATAGCTTCTACAGTTCAACAATGAAACAATAAATCCCACAGTTTGCACTATATTCCATGTGGCTTCTTAATCAACTCTCTCACACTGATGGCATTAAACCTACATCCACTGATTTTTTTTGGCCACTAGGCAGTAGTGGAAATATTATCCTTTAAGGCAATGGTGAAGTGAAGTGAATGTGTTAGTAGTTACGGAGTGACATTATCATTCATTTGTAGTCTTGTTTCTGGCCACTTTGCAGATGTAAATCCCATACTCACTGTCTTTAGCTCTGTTTGTAGTCTCTACCAACTCCTGAGGGACAGACCTCTCTCTTTTGCTGCAAAATGCTCCACTATGTTCACCACACTGACGCTAACATTGCCGTTTGTTAACAGGCCGAACTAGTGACCTGGCAAAATCTGGGAAAATTCCAGTTCTAGTTAATAGCCTTCTTCCTGTTTTATCTCTTCTGGGATGTTTACTCCCCCCTGGCAATGTGTCTGCAGGATTGTACGTCATGTCATTCAATAATAATTTATTTTAAGGGGAAAAGCTCTCTAACTAGCTTGCTATCCGTCGGTTACTTAGTGTTAACTGTCATTTATTAAGCTCATTAGTTTGGCTGCTAATAAGACACAGTCTCACATCTTATTCAAAAGGCATATTAATATTGTATTTGACTCCTGTCTCATAACTGTCCGCAAACTGTTCATCTTCCTGGAGCAGTTTACACTCCGACTGAAAAGTGAATGGTGGAACACAGCTAATAAGCTGGCTTCCTCCATTTTGGAGGATCATGCTGATTTTCTTCGCACCCCTGAGCAAATCCACAGTGTAGCTATTCCATTGAGATTAACTGATTTCACCGATTGACTGGGCCTTTACTCTGCAACAGATGGTGACTTCACCTGGAACCATTAGATGTCAGGCTTCACACTTTAAGGTTTTATCAACACTTTTAAACTATATACTATATATGTAGCAAAGCCTTTCTAAAGCAACATTAAAACTGAGTTCTGTAGTAAAGCTTTTTCGCTCTGGTTCATCGTCCTCTTTCATGCTTTTTCTCCTCTCATTAACTTCTTCTCACAGTCTTGTAATAGACTCACTGTTTTTCTCAGTTTGTTTCTCGTCTCTCAGGTACCTCTGCCTCCCAGCTCCTGCCAGACAGATGACTCAAACTTCTGCTGGTGGTCTATGCGATGGCCTCCGTTAGAGCGCTCTGCCAGGTTCTACCCCCAGTCAGGATCCACGTGACACTGGAGTCTTTGACATCATTTTTAAACATAACATAATTAATACATTTTGTACCTTATTCCAATGTGGCAGAGTCTTCATTAGTAGTTCATATTCAGTGTAAATGTCACAGGTGATTACTTTAAGCTTCTTTCTATACAAAACTGTCACTCACTGCACAAAAGCTGCTGCTAAATCCGGAAAAATATAAAATGGTAAATGAGAGAAACTGAGAGATGGACGGAGGGAGATAGAGAGAGGGGTTAAAAGCGAGAGAAAACGAGGAAGAAGAATATAGAGAGGGATATTCTCCTCTAAAGCCTCTTACCATTAAGCATTTACAGCTTAAGAAAGGCATTGGAAGGTCAGTCAAGGAGGCATGAACCAGGACATTACTGACACACTTTTAAAAAAGAGGAGGATTGTGGATGTGTGGGCTCCCTTCTGTGGCTGTACAGGACAGCTGTGCAGCAGAGCCAATGGGCTTTTTACACAAATTAAACGAGGAGAATTGTTTCCCCTCTCATCTTCTCGTATGACCCTCCAGCGACTCAGGTTCCTGTTTAAATATTCACCTGGTGTCTCTTGGCGTCATCAGCTATTGAAATTTAAATCCAGGGGAGAGAACTTGAATGCGATAGGAGAGCGGCAGTGGGGGTGATTTTGGTTTTAATCCCACAGGAGTTTGAGTTTGTGTCTCACTCTCTTTAATTAAATAACTTTGTCAGGATGAAACATATCAGTTTCATTGACTTTATTACTAATAATTTAAGGTCCAACAGTGAGGGCCCACCACTACTGGAAAACTCGGAATAAACACTTAAATATGCTCACAAAGGTCAGCAATGATTCACCATCAGTTCAGTCAATTCAATTTACCCCATTAAAACAGAAATGTCTGACAACTGAAGTGAGAACATCTATTTGCAATTGCCTGTCAGAACTGTTTCATGTCAAACAATTTCCAGTAATTTAATTACAAAGTGAATCAATTTCCTGCGTTGATGTTAACTGATAGTGACTTCATCCATACTGGCTATGGCCCCCAGGTCGCCTTGTTACTGTAGGTGCTGGCCCATGATAGTAGACTTTGTGGTGTTTTTGTTGTGTGGTGCACGTGTGTCAGAGCCACATTCTTGTGTTTGGTGCAGGAGATGTTAAAGGCGCAGTCTTGAATTTGGGGTTTTGAGAGTTAACTTTCTGGCACAACAAATCTGATTTGATTGATTCAAATCAACTCTTGTGCATTTGGCAGTTTGGTAAGGTTGGTTTGGGTTGGTGTAAAAGCTGGACTCAACTGAACTCTGCAGACTGAATGACCGGACCGAGATCTGCTTTTAAATGAATGCATCACTAATAATAATCAGGTGATATTAAATATATTATTCTAAAATGGGCCATTCTGCATAAGGAATACTTTTACTTTTGATGCTAATACTTTGTACTTTTAGTTAAGTGGGATTTTAAATGTATTTTTTACATCGTGGTATTGTGACTTTTACTTAAGTAAAAGAGCTGTGTACTTTTTCCAACCACTGCCTCCATGCACTGGCTGCCTATGTTGGTTAAACCACTTATTGTCTGTTAAATTTTGGATGTGAATTTTCTTGATGCGTTTTTTCAGTCCATTTTCTACTACTATTCTGGACCATAACATTTGTTATAACTTTAACACAGATAAAACAATTATTATATTTGTGAATACTGCGTGTTAGTCATTGGCATACTGTCAAGGCCTCATGGGAGCACTTTTTTAAAACAAACCCCCCCAAAAAAAAATTTTTTTAAAAAAAGGGAAGAGGGGGGGGTATAAAAAATATTTTTTTTTCCCCAAAAAAAAAAAAAAAGTGTTTGTGTGTGTGTGTGTGGGGGGGGGGGGGGGGGGGGGGGTTTTTTTTTTTAAAAAAAAAAAATAAAAAAAAAAAAAAAAAAAAAAAAAAAAAAAAAAAAAATTTTTTTTTTTTTTTATAAAAAAAAAAAAAAAATTTTATTTTAAAAAAAAAATTTTTTTTTTTTTTTAAAAAAATCAATAATAGGAGACAAAGTGCCTCAATCACTGAAGGCCGATGAGAAGTATTCATGACCTCCGATAAATAATGTCTTTCCTTGTAGAAAGCAGCAGTAGAAACTGAAAACATTATGGCTGCACTTCCAAAAGTAAAATTTGGAGAATACCATCACTAAATATGCAAAGATCAAGTGAACAACATTTCCTCAGAAGTATATTTTCAATATAAATGTGCATAAACCACACTTTTCACATTTCCAGGTTTCATTTTATCCCTTTTTTATTTTACACAACATAACAACACAGTACATGTTGTCTTTTTCTGTACAGAAGCTTTCCAGGAGCTTGTGACCAACACAGGCTGTAGTATACCAATGTCAGTGAAAAGCTCACAAGGTTTTTATGTTCTTTTTTTTTTTAATTCTTCCCTTTAAAAAATATCAATTTCATAGGAGATACGTTAAGTCTTCGTCTGTTTGTTACTTTTTGTCTCAGTTTGTGTCTGTCTACATGTCAAGAAACGTCTGTACTCCTCAGTAGGTAAGAAAGGCTATGTGTGAAATCTCTCTCTTCCTTTGTCCGTCCCCTTCGTCCTAATCCCTCGTTGTGGAGCGTGGTGGAGTCCTAGATCCGGTTATATCATCTGTCAGAGGGTCTGTTAGTGCAAAAGAAGGCACCGACTGCTGTTCTCTTGCCACGGTATGGACACACACTTCCTGTCGGCGTGTGAGCGTAAGAATGGTGTGCTTTTCAGTTCTTGGATTGTTTTTTTATTCCTCTTTTTTTCCTGTAATAATTCCCTTTTCGTGGTATTTTCAGATAAGGTGAGTGTGAATCGGGAAATGACGTGGCGAGCCCATTGTCTTGTTTTCTTTTGTGCTATAAAGTGGAACCAACGAGACAACTCAAGGACGTTACGAGACAACGCAAATTATCCACCCGCCGAATGACCGACTGAAAAACAGATAGGAAACTGTCAAAGTGAAAAAAAAACAAACTGTAAACTGAATACAAAGAATTGTGGAGAAATAAAATATGAAAACGATACAAAAATAACTGGCTGAAAAAGAAAAAGTATGCTCACGCTTTCACCCAGAAAAACACGATCATCAACTCACACATCTATAAACAAAAGGTTCCGACATGAACACACACACACACACACACACCAAAAACGCACAACACACGCACTGTTTCATATGTCACAAACACACCTTTGTTTGTTAGCCTTCACTCACACACCTCTAAACAAATTCAAACTAACACACACACACACACACACACACACATATATATAACTGCAGGCACACACTCATACAAAGGATGAACAATAATGAATAAACCAAAGTTTGTTGGTTGCTGTCTCATTCCAGTTCAAACTGTGCTTTCTAAGATCCAGTCCGAATCACACCGCCCTTTGTCCGAGTCTCCCTCCCCGTCTTTCGGTAGAAGCATCCCGCTCATTGATTGGCTCCTTTTGTTCCGCATTATGCGCCCTAATTTGGGCGGCCCTCCTCCTCCGCCCTGATGGGACGAGTGAGTCTTTGAGCTGCCTCCTTCACTGAGGGAGTACCTCCTCCTCGCCCTGCTCCTCCCTCCCTCCTCCACGGGGAGAGTCTGGTACTTGGCAGGGGTGGAGGAGGAGGCCCGAGGAGCCCTACGTAGGATGGGCGTCTCTCTGAATCGGATGGAGGGGACGGGGCTCGGGGTGGCAAGAGGGCTGGAGAAAGGAGAGGGGGCGTAGGGAGGCGGGGTTTGGTTGAGAGAGGTGGAGTTGTTGCGGTTGGTGTTGAGGTTCTCCAGAGGGGTGGAGGAGGGGAGGAGAGCAGAGGAGGCAGTGGAGGAGGTGGAGGAGGAAGGAGGGCGAGGGGTGGAGGTGGGGAGATTTTCAGTAGTAGCCGTGGTGTTGGAGCAAGCGGAGCCTGGCTTACTCGTAGCGGGCTTCCGCTTTGGCTTGTTTAGTGAACCGGTGGCGGCGGTGGGTGACGAGATGACAGCTCTCTCTTCACCTGCTTTCTCCTGTTCCTCGCCTCCAGCTGTTGGGCTTCTGGCTGCCCAAGGCTGGCTGAGAACGGACGTAGCAGTGGAGCAGTCAGGCAGGGAAGAGTCGGACGACTGAGTCATCGTATCCTTGCCGCCTCCTCCTCCTGCTCCGCTCCTTTTCTTTGAGCCTCCTGAGAGGTCGTCTAATCCGATTGAGCCGTGTTTGGAGGCGCTGGGAGTCACAGTGCATCCCTGTGACTGCTGCCCATTGGTCTGTGAGTGAACGTTGGTCATCGACATCGAAACACCTTTACCCCCCTCACCAGGGTTACACACCTGTGGAAAAAAACAGATGGAAGCAATGAGGTGTTGCTTCTTCTCTTTCCCACTGAAATATGTAGGGCTGAGCAAACTGGCAAAAAATATAATTTTTTCATATCGTGAAATAAATCAAGGCAGTATTTATGTTGAACTCAAACATTACCTTTAGCTTAAAATGCCATTGTAGGTAATTTAAGGGGCGTGAAAATTGACAATAATTATAAGCTGCAAACAGAGAATCTATTTAAATACATAAATTAAACAAAATGATCATAAACTTCAACCATTTCAGTCTAGATCCTGCAGTGTGAAATGTTTGAAGGCAGTAACCTTGTGTCTTGTATCATGACATATGATTATCTTTGTTTCAGTCATGTAACAGGTTGTTTAATATAACTTTTGAGAAAATGTTGTATTACAGTCAGTAAGAGTGGACAGTTATTTTACATATTTATTAAAGTCATTTATTTGAAAAAAATGTTTTCTTACATGCCAGTTTAGTTTGGAATAGAAACAGATATTAACAGATATTCCTGATGTGCTGGCAACATCTTTCTCTGCCTTTTCATGATACAAGTTTACAGATGCTTAAATAACAATAGCTAGAGCATTCCTAACCTGGGGCATGAGGTAACTGGACATTTGACTCGCGCAAAGAAAGTAAACTTAAAAAGATGAAATATTCTAATGATAAAAATGAATTACTCATCAAGTCAAAATGATGAAGGAATCAAAGTGGATAAATATTAAGTCAAAATAATGATGCAAAGTCAAAATTATGACTTACAGAGCACCCTTTAGCTTAGTGGTTAAGGAACAGTATGTATGACTTCGAGGCATCTTTAGTACATGGAGAGCCTTGTGCTATCAATATGTAATTCAAATAAAAAAAATAACAAAAAAAACCCCCAAAACCCTTAAAAAACAACTTTCTGTTTAAAAGTTGAATTAATTTCATTTTATATTTATTTTTATCATTCCAAACCTTTTATGATTTTCTTTCCAGGCAGAAATGGGCTTCCGTACTAACGTCAATGAGACGTGATAATCATGTAGAACTATAGAGAATCAGTGGGATATGGGTGGATGCTGCAATATAGTGTTACTCAAATTTTCAAAAATGTCTTGTGAGTGTTGTCAGTTCATCAGAATTAGACCAGGCTAGCATACAGCCAGCGCGTGAGTAATGCCAATCTACCCACATAATGAAAAGCTCTCTCCTCTTATTCTCTCTCCTATCTGGCCAGAGTGGATTAAGCGAGACAGACAGAGACCCACCTTGTACCGTATCATCAATATAATGATGAAAACGAGCACAGAGGCCACTATTATCCCTCCGATGATGATGATCATAGTCCCGCCGAGGAACTGAGACTGCATAAAATGACACCTCATGTACTCTGACTCGGTGGTGAACTGCACGCAGCCGACCACACGTGTGGCTGTCAGCGAGGTGATGACATCATCGTAGATGGCCAGCACGCAGAGGTCGTACTGGGTCCCTGCGGCCAGGTTGTTGACCAGGAAGTTCTTGCTTGATGGGGGGATCATTCTGTGGCAAAAGAGAGGGTCAGAGAGGGGGGCGGGGGGGGAGTGGAAAAAAATACAAATATTAAATCGTTGAGGGCATTAACAGAGTAGATGCACGTTGAGGAAGAGCAATGTACAATGGGAAGGTTAGGGTTTGGATTCCCACTTGGACCAATGTAACAGCTTTTCTAAAAGCTAAACTGTTGTAATTTATATTGTCTAACACGAGGAGTGGTGCTAGCAACAGTTCCATTTTTCATATTTACACACCCAGTTAGGAAAAATAGCAACATAAGCATTTATTTAGAAACATATTTTTGTCTTCCAGATGAATGGAACTCCAATAATCACCGTCCTTCCAGCTCTGGTTTGGTCTCCACCAACTCCTGAGCAACTTATCTGGCTTTAGATGCTAAATGTGCCAGTTTGTTTACCAGGTACCAGCTGTCTGCTGTTTGGTGCTGGGCAGGTGGCGTACAGTGGAACTCTTGTGCTGGTGGTATAACCAAAACAATGTGCTAAAAGATGCTAAAAACACACCCTGACATGAACTGCATGACACCTTTCAGAATCAAGTATTCATGTGATCCATTGTTAATATTAATGTAGTGATTATATCTGCTTTAAAGCACTCTCATCACACAGCATCAGGAGAAATATAGGGTTTAGTATCTTGCTCTAAGGACCCGTCGAAATGCAGCAGGAAGAGCCGGGGATCAAACCTCCAACCTTCTGACTAGTGGACGACCCGCTCCACCTCCTGAGCCACAGCCGCAAGATTAAAAATGATTAAGAATCAATGCACTCAGCTCCACTGTGTATAGCTGGGTGCTGAATCCTCGAAAACCCAAAAGTCATCAGCAGGACAGGAGACCAATTAAAGGATTTAGTATTGCACGGGCGTATCTGGTTGCCCTTCCTTAGGCTGCTAACTAGCACCAAAGTTCCACTCAGGCAGGGGTGGAGGCTACAAGGGACATGGTTTTCAGCTCAGGGTGAATCAATCCGGATTTCCTTTTATACAAATACAAAGGTACTTTGCCACTTTGACTTGAAGTTGGTTATTCTTCACTGGATATTTGTCACATTGACTACAGGATTTGCACATTTGTCCTTCAGTTTCCCTTAAAGGGCTTGTCAGCTTTCCTGGATTTCCTCATTAAAATGTTAATGAAATTCCTCATTAAAACCAAGGAGGGCTGCTAGTTCACAGCTCGCGGCCTCGTGTACACTGAGAGGAGCAAAGGGCTATTTTGGCCAGGTTAAGCATCTGGTTTAGAGTTCGAGTTAAGTGAAGGTTAGGAGACATGTTAAGGTTTAATGGTTAGTATTAAGAGCTGGGGAATGAATGTAGCTGTAGGTCATTAGTGTGCCCTCAGTGGAATAACAGCACAAGGCTGTAAGAGTGTGTGTGTGTGTGTGTGTGAGCATCTATATGACCCTATGAATAATAATGGGACCATCTGAACGCTGGCTGACCATGAGTGTTCTCCCCTTTGCTTCTCTTGATGTTTTCATCACTATGGTGGTGAACCTTGGTCCCACACACACACACACACACACACACACACACTCACAATGCCATTATTTCTGTGTTGGGACACATAAAGTGACATTGAAGAGTGCAGGTTAATGATCGGAGCGAGTGTCCCCGGCACCTACAAGCTCAGATACAGGCAGCTACATTTGTATACACACACAGAGATTAATTTCCCTATTATTGCTGTGGCCTTGGGCTTCATTTGTGAGTATGAATGTGTGTATGTGTGTGTGTGTGTTTGTGTATCACATTAGCCAGCATTACTGTAATATCTTTGTGTAAAATAATGTGTTTGTTTTATAATTCTGCGTGGCCTGCACATTCTGGGTTCATCTTTTTGTTGCAGGCTTTAACATGCCGCCATGCTTGCAAACAGAGACCACTGTTTACTGGCTCATTAATACTGTATTTCTCTGGGAAAGGCATTTACATAAGTGTGTACAGCTGAGAGAGAGAGAGTAAATAGTTAATGAATATCCAGTGGATTTTTGGACCATTTCTTGACCCTGAATACTTCCACCCTCTGATTATTCAATGATTTGGACAGTATGGGAGCAAGACCTCAGCCACTAACACACAGGTAGACAGTACAAGCATGCGCAGACAAATAAGGGGTGTCATAAGCATACTTCAAACTGACAAAACACACTCTTACATAGAGGTGAGCCTCTTAAAAGCTAATGTAGCTTTAGTGTGAGTACCTGTAGGCTGAATAAGATAAATATTAACTCCATAACACACAGACCAGACACAGCTTTAGTATTGCTGGGGCTCAATATCATTGTTTTTAATAATATAGCCTATAAAAACACCTTGATTACTCTAAATTGAAATGTTTCCTCCTTGGACAGAAAACTGAAGAGTTTTAAAGGGACATACAGTAAATTCCAGATGAAAAGCTTTTTGGAACAATTTCCAAGCAATCCTTTGTTCTAAAACACGTGTGGTATTCTGGGTTATTATCATGCAAAAGTGTATGAAACTACACATAGTATTTGTAACATTTCAGCTGCTTATTAGATGAGGCAGTTTTTCTGATATAACCACAGTGGTTAAGTTTTGGTTGAGAATGTTCATGAATTGTCACATATGCTCTTTAGATAATCTACAGACGAAGCGTAACAGTTGAAATATTACGAATTCTCTGTAAACAACTAAATAAACTAAATAAAGTGTTACCAAACATACAAAAACATAGATCAATCAGAAGTGTGTGCATCCAAGTTTATCAATTCCTTCCGATCAATGGCGGCATGTTTTTCTGATATTTGTGCATTGCACAATGACGTCAATCTAATGCGCCTGCGCTGCTGGAAACTTGCAACAAGAAGGAGTTATGGTAGAGAGGAAGAACCTGTCCATTGGCTTCATTCCATGAAGAAAGGTGACAACAGTGCTAGTTGTAATGTTTGTAAAATGATTGTTTCAAGTAAGGGTGGAAACACCAGCATAAAAATGCTATGTCATTGCAATGTAATTAACACTGTATGCTAGAGCGCCATTGCTTCCCAGCCAGCAGCATGTTATCGAAGGTAAATATCCTCTGTTGTAATAACATTACCGTCACGCATGCAGGTAGATTTTCTTCTTTAACTAAGAGAACCTAAATGAAAAAGAATGCTGTACAAATCTCTCTAATTTCAGTCATTCAACCATCCTGAAATTGTGTGCATGGGCAATGAGCCTTGTGATCTTTCCCACAATGTACTATAAATGGCTAGAAACACACTCCAGTTGCCTGATTTCCATATGAAGGATCAGCATTTAGCTACGTTTTGCGGAGAAATGGCGGAAGCATCGAAGCGCAGTTTTACGGAATGTTGAACTGAGGGTAATGGTGGATCAAACTTATAAAAGAAAACGTGTGTTATTTGGATCCCTAAGCTCTGGCATGAACAATAGAATGAAGCAAGGTGAATAGCACAAGGTAACGTGCTGAAGTAGCATTGTATCTAAACAGAGAAGTATCATTCCGTTGCTGTCCTTGAGTTTGGAGGTATGAGATTTTCTTTCTTTGGAAGGTCATAATAAGTTACCTTAATATTTTTCAAAATAAATTGATTAATTTTATAAAAATCAATAGGTAAGTCAGGCTCACTATAGGTTTAACGCTAATCTGACATGTTCTATTGAAATTCTTAAAGGAATATTATAGGAAATGTTTCAGCTAAAAAATATTACACGACCCTTAATGCCTAAAATAAAACTGGTATAACAGTTACAGGCAAGTTAAACACCAACTGCTGCAACTGTATTAAATTACAAATGCGTTTTGGTTAAAAATCTATGAATGGGCACAAATGATGTACCTTGCTTGAGGCTTTGTTTGCTGCTTAGCCATGTATCCACATGAATAAATGACATTGTCTCTTTTCTCCACCTTCAGAAACCATTGCTTCCAAGAAACCATTAGCTACATGACTCCTGCTGGATTCAGCCAACACCAGAATGTTTCTAAACAAAACCCATCCAACCGGACGCTCCGGCCAGTGAAACTCACATTGCATAGCTAGTTCTCACTGTGAACATGTAAGCCAAGCTGTCATCATTTATAATTCATAGATACAAGGAACAATCAAGATATTGACAATGTGTTTGTCGTATTTGGACCCTGTTCCGCTGCATGCTGAGTTCACAAAATACATTTTCATGCAAATGAGAGGATTTTCTCTTTTGTCTTGCATACGATTATTTCTTGACTGTGTGAGCCGTTAGCATTGTGAACTCATCCAAACTGACTCATTCATTGTGGCTAATTTCTTTGTGTCTGAGCTGGATCTTGCTGCCAGTATTTGAAGCCCTACAGTGGGCAGATGATTGCCTTGGCCGAGACTATTACACTAATCTATCTACTCTGCTCTGCCAAGCCCTCAGCCCAGGGCGCCTGTGTGTGTGCGTGTGTGTTTCTGGGTTTCATTACACTTTCATTACACTTTCATTACACAAGAGAAAGTGTGTGTGTGCATGCTCCTCTATGAGTATGCATTTTTGTACCTATGCCTATATGTGTCTGTAGTATAGGTGTGTGTGTGTGTGTGTGTGTGTGTTTGTGTACACGGTACATGCATGTGTGTGAGTTCCTTTACAGTAATTTTCTCCTCCCATGGCCGCCTCTTCTTCCCAGTGGCTGTCACTGTGTCTGGCTTCCTGCCAACATTCATCACTGATGCAGCACTACATGCTGTTAAACCCCTCACTGTGTACGTGTGCGCTTGGGTGTGAGAGCGCGTGTGTTTGTGTGCGTGTTAATCAACTCAAGCTTTCCTCACTCCAGCCGGGACAAAGCCAGGAGGACAATGCGATCTCCATTAGTTGCACTCATCTTTTTGACTCAAGACAAATGATTGCCTCCGTGCACAGAACAGTGAACTATGATACCAGATTGTTCTATTTCAGGCCATTTCACTTGATTAAATATTGGACAAAGACTAGAGGCCACAAACACGCATTATTCCAGGAGGGGGAAAAAAAGGCATTCATGG